TATTGTTTAATCTACCTTACTAATTAATGTAAGATCAATTAAGGTTATATTTTACTACACTGTTCATGCAAGCCTGGGAGACTTTATACAATAGTCCCACGCGATCCATATATCTTGAATACATCTTGGCACTGAGAAATCATTTTTACCATCTATCATGATATTTAAAGTTATAGTGGGTATGGGGATTTGAATTTGATTGGAGATGAAGTTAGCTAAAGCTTATAGTAGTTGCTCTGGCTTCTAATTACTCTTTAAGTACTGATTAGTTACCCTTAGAATATGTAAATATGTATTTATAATTAGAATACTACACTTATATCTAAACAGTCCTAGAGTACCAAATTTCATTAGTTCTAGGGATATTTTTCTTTTTCAAATTCAGAATTCTGGATGCATCTTAGAATCACTGGTTTCTTAAAATCACTGTCAGGTAGTTGTTTTGATGTAATTATCATAGTCTCTGCATGCATGAATTTGATAATAGCTGCTCACATTGTAGTCATTTCAGTTATATTAGTTCATTGTTTAGTTTATTTTCTACTTAAAATGTCTTCAAAAATATTATGATGATTTCTCAATGAAATTATTTTTCTTTCTTAGTGGTACCTAAATTAATGCTGTGGTTACCATTGATGGCATTGATGAGGTTCAGGACATTGCACAGACTATGTTTAAGTATTAAAGTAAATTATAGATAATATAACACCAAGAGAGAAAGCCAAAACGGTCTACCCTGAACAAAGGGCACCATCCTTAGGTGGAGAGGGGACTGCTCATTTGTGACATTGACTCACTCTCCCAACCATTGTTATTTTCCTTTTGAAGTACATTTTATTATGTAAGATTTCAAATATGTCTGTAGAAAAATAGAGGAAACAATACAAAGAACTGTCTTGTGCCTATCACCCAGTTTTAACTATTGTTTACACAGTGCCAGTATTGTTTTATCCATATCCCCATTCATTTCTCCTCCTCCCATACTATTTTGAAAAAATATCCAAAACATCAGAATTATTTCATAATCTATAAATGTATCACTTTGTATCTTAAAAAGATAACTATGAATATAGCTATAATAAAATTATTTGGAAATGAATAAAAATTCTAAAATATCATCAAATATTCTCTGTTCAATTTTCCAGTGGTCTCAAATACATTAATTTTTCCTTTGAATCAGGATCCAAATTGCATATCTACATAACAATCTCATGCAATTATTTTTTTTGTGTGTGTGTGTTACTGGGGATTGAATCCAGGGGCTCTGTACCACTTAGCTACATCCCCAGTCCTTTTTAATTTTTTTTCATTTTGACACAGAGTCTTGCCAAGTTGCTGAGACTGACCTCGAACTTATGATTCTCCTGCCTCAGACTTTTGAGTATATGGGATTACAGGTGCATAACACTGTGCCTAGCTTGATGAAATGTTTTTGACTCCTTTAATCTCTAACAGAGGTTGACAAATATTTCTGTAAAGGATCATAAAATGCATATTTTAGGCCTTGTGAATGATATGGTCTCTGTCACAAGTACTCAATTTCATCATTATAGCATGAAAGCATCCATTTAAGTCACGATGAAAGCTGTGTTCCAATGAAACAAGTATGACAAAATAGATGGTGGGCTGGATTTAATGAGTACTTTAGTTTGGTGATACTTGATCTATAGCAGTGGTTCTGAAACTTTGGTGTGTACCAGAATTACTAGGAAGACTACTAAAGAACACAGAGCCTGGGTGTCATGATGCATGCCTGTAATCCCAGTGTCTTGGGAGGCTGAGGCAGGATTATCATAAATTGAAAGCCAGCTTCAACAACTTATTAAGGTGCTAAGCAATTTAGTGAGAACCTATCTATAAATAATTTTAAAAAAAGACTGGGGATAAGGCTTAGTGGCTAAGTACACCTGGGTTCAGTCCCTGGTACTGGGGGAAAAAAAAAAAAAAACCACCAAACCAGAGGCACAGACTTGATGTACTATATAATTAGGATATAATTAGGGTCTGTATTTTTACTGTATTACCAATGTTTTCTCTTCACCCTTCTTTTTTTCTTGTAACTTATTTTTTAAAGTAAACAAATCATTTGTCCTTTAAAGTTTCCCACATTTGGGTTGAAAGTCTTGTTCTAGTTGTAGTTATTTTATTTTGGTGTGTTGTGTGTGTGTGTGTGTGTGTGTGTGTGTGTGTGTGTGTGTGTTCATGTAGAGTGGAGAGGACAAGAATACTTAATAGATGATTCAGTAGACACATAATTTGTGATACCCCTCCCATTCACTTTAAGAACAAGACTTATTTGGAACTCCGTAAGCTTTTCATCCATGTGATACATACTTGATACAAACAACTTGGAGGAGGCAAGATTTATTTTGGCTTAAAGTTTCTAAGGTTTGAGTCTATGATCAGCTGGCTGCATTGCTCTGGGCTTGAGGTAAGGCAGAACATCATGGCAGAAGCATGTGGTGGAGGACAGTACTAGCTCATGGCAGCTAAGGAGAAGTAGGGAAGAGAGGATGGGAAGGGACAAGGCTAGAGACAAGATATAGTCCTCAAGGGCATACCCCCAGTGACCTCAGATATCCATACCTTTGTTTAAAATGTCAGTGTTGAAGTTGTATGCCTTTTCTCTAATCCATGTTGAATAAAGGACTAACAATTCTTTTCCCTAATTTACTGTTCACTATACCCTTGTTTTTGGGGTTTCATTTGTTTTGTTCCCCTACAATATGAGGTATGACATACTACTGAATGGTATTCAAGATGTACAGGACTGTGGATGTAACTCAGTGATGGAGCAATGGCCTAGCATGCATAATTTCCTGGGTTTAACCCCCCATCCAAAGCACTGAAAGAAAAATAAAAAATAAGAGAAATGACACATGCAAAGAACAGTTTGTCTTCCAAGTCTTATTAGAATGCAAAGAAGGAAGAGTATCCTAAATGGGACACCAGGAACCTCCTTCAGAGAAATAGTAGGTGGCTTTGGCTTTAAAAAGCCTCCCACAGAAACTTTGGTTTTTCTAACTTTGAAACTAGAGAAGCAGGCAGCAGGAGGCCATGGGACTACCTTAAGGTTTGGAGACCAACAAATGTGGGTGTGAACTCCTGCCTTGCCCTGTATTCACAAACTGTGATCTTACTAAATAATTTGCCCCTAGTGAACATGGCCTTCAAAGCTAAAATACTCTGCTGTTTTGCAGTTCTGATGATTCAGAGAACTGCTGAACATTGAACAAACATCAGTGCCCTTCTGAGCTCTCAAAAGGAGATAAGCCAGTGTTCTTGCTTTGTCACTAGTGGTTTAGCCATTCCAGATCACTTGGTGGCAGCATGGAGATACTTTTCCATTTTAATATCTGAAAAAAAAATCTGTCACTAAAGAATAAAGGTTAATTGCAGAAGTATTTAAGCTGTTGAAAGGGACCCATCAGCTGCCCTGCAATATCAAAGTCCCTGAGTGGTTACTGCTTATTACCATCTGAATGGTAGCCAGCCTTTGTCAGGGGCTTAACAGACTTCATTAAGATTTGTCTAAGGATTCTGTCCCCCTCAATTACCACTTAGTGTCAAGAACTTGCTGGTTGATGAGTCAGTTTTAGAATTCTTAGCTTGGGTGGGTTTGGAAAATTAGTGTTTTGAGTGGGCAGCTGGCCTGTCCCTTATTTTAATCTCCCCACCCCCATAGCCAAACTGACCAAAGGGCTGCATGCCTTTTATTTGGCTGCTTCCAGTACTATTTAGAACAGCATTAGAGGAATTGAGTTCCTTCAAAAGTAATTTATTATTTGTACCAGGAACACATTTGGAAGTTGTTTATAACCGAATAGGAGAGTGAGATAAGTAAACAAAAAAAAAAAAAAAAAAAAAAAAGAAAAGAAAAAGAAAAACTCAGCTTGTCCATGGTATCAATTAAGTTGAGGACAGTGCTCTATGTTTCCCTTGAATGTGAATCTGGAAGGATAAATCAACATTCTTCAGAAATGGGGAAGATGGACTTTATAAGCAGAGGGACTGGCATCAGCAAAGATATTGACATCTGTCTGAAACAACCTGAGGTAACCAGAAAATCCTAATCTAAGCAATTTAATGAGAGTGTCAATGGTCAGCATTGCCTAGAATGGAGAGGTAATAACAGATATTTCTAGGGTGTGTGGTACCATGCTGAAACAATTTAGCTCTATGTCAAAACTCTCTGAAATAGGTAGCATTTAAACAAGTGGGAAACCTAAAGCTCAGAGAAGTTACAGTGAGTTAACATTTCCTGGTGCAGAGCTGGTGAGTGTCCGCCTATGTTGGGATTTGAACCCAGGGCAACATCATTGTCTAGGCTGTGCATATGGGTTATAAATAGGGAGAAAGTTTCAGAAAGCCTAAACTGCCACAGTGAACACAGCTGGCCCTCTCCTTTAAGTGATAGGCAACCGTTAAAGGAAATTTAAGCAAGAGTGACTAGGGCCTGAAAATCTGAGATTACAGGATCTACTCCATAGCTAACTGAATGACTTCAGGCAGATCCCTTTCCTTCTCTGGGCGTTTTTTCATCTGTTAAGAGAAAGATGATGAAAGGATGATCTTAAGGATCCTTTTCAACTTTTTCAGATTTTTACTTTTCTATGGATGAGGAAAGGGCCAGATTACTAACTAGAAAAAATGGAAGACGCTCTTTCCATGTACTTTGTTGTTCCTCTTGTCATGAATGTCCTCTTGCTTCTCTCTTGCCTCTCCAAATCTTTTAAGTTAGTCTTAAATTCTCCTGACTCTTAACTCCTTTAACACTGCTTACTAAATTCAATATGTCTCACTTTGGCTCCTAATTCTATGCCATCTTATGTTTTTGGTGAGTTATTTCCGTTGGAATCCTTTCTTTCCATCTATACTTTAGGCTGTCATTTCCTTCCACTTTTTAGCTTTTCTTTCCCTCTATATCAATTAAAACAGGCTTGGTTATAAGGGGGGTATTGGAGGAGATCTTGTTCAACATTTTCTTTTACTTCCGGCAGTGTGTGTGAGCACAGCAAAGAGAATCTCATGACCCCTTCCAACATGGGGGTGATCTTTGGGCCCACCCTGATGAGAGCTCAAGAGGACACTGTGGCTGCCATGATGAACATCAAATTTCAGAATATTGTGGTTGAAATCCTAATTGAGCACTTTGGCAAGGTATGTGTTTCCTATCCTTATTATCATTTCTCTAAACACTTGACATTTCCCCAGCTGTATATAGGATGTGTCTTCCTTCTTGGCTTGAGTTGACAATGAAAGGAAATCCTATTGTGACAAAATGACATTTAATAGTATTTTGACCCTGGGAATTTCAGGAACTATTGCTTGAGCATGTCACTATTTTATTATCAGGCACTATGCTAAATGCTGAGGTTACGGAAGAAGAAAGAGTCACTGCCTTGAAGGCGTTCACAGTGTAATATGGAGATGGACATGTAAACAGAGGAAATGATAAGCATGAAAGTGGTATGACCAATGACAGTGTATGGGAGAATAGTTATAGTTTCTCACCTATCATTACGTTCATGACTGAGAAACCCTACAACAAAAGACAGATTAATAAGAGAAAAGCTCATTTTCTGTAATTTATGTAATAAGTTTTATGTGACTTGGGAGCCTTCTGAAGTGAAGACCTAAAGAAACAGTTAAACTTATGCATTTTTATAATAAGTCTGATGAAGAAGTGGATAGTTTTGAAGAAATGTGATTAAGGATTTATGGGTATGATCTAATGGTAATAGAAGGGGGGAACTTGGCAAGGACTTTGTTCAGGTTCTTCTTGGTGTTTTTGTCTTCAAGAATAAGGATGTTCATTTCTTCAAGGTATACAGAGGGTACCTGTGGAATAAAATTATCATGACCTGCTTTAAAGGAATGTTAAGGATTCACTTGTGGCCTACTTTGGAGAAGAAGTATATGAAATGATCTCAGAGTCCTTCTTATTTCTGTTATTTCCTCAAATGCCAAGGTGACATATTTCATGGTAGCAGATCCTGAATCCTGTGAAAACCCTACATAAATTAATATATATGCTTATTTAAACCACATCTCATTCCAAAAGAACTTAAGGTAGCAATATTGATATAGTATTTAACATAGAAGGTAGCATATATTATAATCGGATCAAATGAAAAAGGTAAAACAAAGTGAGAGACAGAAAATGAGCTCAGGAATCAGGTTAGGACAAGTCATATTTATTGATATGTCTTGTATACTTGACTACATTTGGCTTTAAGCTTTTTAGCAGCCAGTGCCATCGTTGGGAAGCCTAATTCAATAAGAAACTTTTCTACAGGATGAGGACGTTGATGAAGTCTATCTATAGTTCAAATCTAATCATTGCCATTTGCTAGCTGCATTAGGTAGGACATATATATCTAAGGCTGGGCTGCTAAGATTCCACACACACACATATATACAGTGTTTTAACCTGAGAGTTGTTTATTTCATGGTTGTAGAATAGTTCAGGGAGAGGGCACAGAGCTTGTAAGGTGATTTCACAGGTTCAGGATCCCAGGTTCGTTCTTTCTTGGTGCTCTGGAATCCCTGAGGTGATGCTTTCATCACCTTGATTGAATATATTCTACATTTTATCAGTCAAGAAGAAGGAAAGAAAGGAAATAGAAGTTATAGCCCTTTCCTTTAAGGCCATGACCTGGAAGTCACACATATCACTTTCATTTATATACCATTTTTCAGAATTGAATCTCATGGTCACACTTAGTGATGAGAGGCAGGGAGGTATAGTCTTTATGGTGTAGATTACCCAGCCACAACTTAAAGAAGGAGAGAATGGATATTTAATAGCAACTGGCATTCTTTTTTTAAAAAAATTTTAAACAGATACAACACTTTTTTATACCTTTATTTTATTTATTCACTTTTATGTGGTGCTGAGGATCAAACCCAGTGCTTTTTTGCTATATTATCTGTGTCAATTTCAAACAACTTATTTGACTTCTCTGATAGTAATTTTTCAGCTAAAATGAGTAGATGATAATAAATACTGCCTATGTGATGGTCACATGCACAATTTTATTTAGTTAATAAGTGGAAGAGCTGAATAACTTGTACCAGAATACAGTTAGATACCACAAATAAGATCTATTGTTCTACAGCACAATAGAGTAGTTATAGTTTACAAAATATTATATATTTTATGTTATTATTAATGCGTTATATTATACATAATGATAGTGTTCATTCTGACATAATTATACATGCATGAAATATAATTTGTTCCATTTCAGTCCCAATTGCTTCTTCTTTACTTCCTCTTTTTCCTTGCTATTCCCCTTCCTCTATTTTAGTGGTTTTCTATTCATTCATTTTAATTGGTTGTTTATAGATATATGTAAAGTTGCAGTTCACTGCAATATGTTCCTATATGTATGTTTCATAATTTGGACAGTTTCAAAGAAGTAAAAGAGAAGAATTTTTTGGCTCCCAATGATAAGAAATGATAAATGCTTAAAGAGATGAAAATGCTAATTACCTTGATTGGATCATTACATATTGTATACATGTATCAAATTATTGCCTTCTACCCCAATAATATGTACAATTATTATTCATCAATTTAGATATTTTAATAAGAAGTGACATTTAAATCCAATTAGATTTGTTAAGAGTTAAGGTACTTAGTCATTAGCTTCTGCTTTATCACCAGTCATTTTGGTTCAGTAGTATTATTGGGAATATACAGAAGAGGTGCTTGAAGAGAAGCATGACCTATATTAGGTAGTGTTTTAGTCAGGATTATTCAGAGAGAACTAATAGAATATGTATATAGATATATGACAGGGAATTTTAGGGGAATTGGCTCATGTAATCATTGTATCTCAGAAGTCCAAGGACAGGTCCACTTTATGCTGAAGGCCCTGAGATGTTGGTAGCATGGCTCAGTCCAAATTCCAAGGCCTCAGAACTAGGAAAGCTGATAGTATGACTCATCTGAAGCAGAAAGTCTGACTGTGGAGGAGAGTTGGATGCCCTGGAGTAAATCCTAAAGTTCAAAGGCCTGTGAATGTAGAAACCACATGTCCAAGGCAGCAGAAGAAAATGCTGGCCCAGCTTTCAGATAAAGACCAATTGACCTTTTATATTTCTCTGATTTCAGCCAATTGGATAATGCTTGCCTGCACTAAGGCCAGATCTTCCTCACCTAGTCCATTCAGACTCACAAGCCAATCTCCTCAGGAAACACCCTTACAGACACACCCAAATTAATGATTTTTTACACTTCTAGCTACTCCTTAATCCATTCAAGTTGACACCTAAAATTAAACATCACCTATACAGAAAGTAGAAAGAAAGAGAGTTAGGGAAAGGAAATTTCAAGATGATGCAATGTGAACAAAGCCCCAGAACCTAAAAACATTGTAGTGGAATATAAAGAGGAACTAGGAGCAAATAGCAGGACATGAGGAAAACAGGGACAAGGTTCTAAAAACATTTAACTGCTTGGTTGAGGAATTTGAAATATTTATAATTTTCTTGACAGTGATGCTATATTATGAGGACGAAATAGTAGTCTGAATCAGGGGCAATTGAGAGAGGGACAGGGAGGCAAAAACCATAGGACTTAATAATTGGAAGCAGAAGATGTTGGAGAGGGAGATTTCTGAATCCTGAAATTCTGACACAGTAGGCTGAGTGAATGGGACTGTCTTTCTTACATGTAAAAATTTCAGAATGAGATACTGGGCATGATGGTGCATGCCTGTAATCTAAGCAGTTTAGGAGGCTGAGGCAAGAGGATCAGAAGTTCACAGTTCAGCCTCAGCAACTCAGCTAGGCCCCAAGCAACATGGTCAGATTCTGTCTCTAAATAACATATAAAAAGGGGCTGGGGATTTGTTTCAATGGTTAAGCACCCCTGGGTTCAATCCCTGGTATCTCCCTGAAAAAAAAATACAGAATGAGAAAGTTCTGGGGAGATAGAGAACTGCTCAGTTTGGGGCAGTTTGGATTTGAGATTTGTGAAAGCTATCCCAGAGAACAATATCTAGCAAGTAGTTGTATGAATTGAGAGCAAGGATCAATGAAATTTTTCTTAAAGGACCATATAGTAAATATGTATGCTATGTAGGTGCAGATTTCTGTCACAACTAGTTGACTCTGTAGTTGAAAAGAAGCTACAAGACTGTATGTAAACAAATCATTACGGCCATTTTCTAATAAAACTGTTTATAAAACAGGCAATAGGCCTATAGGCTATAATTGAACCATTGTCTAAAGCCCAGATGTTATGTATTGATGAACTAATTCATTAAACAAATAAATGTTAAGTGCTCACTATGTGGTAGGTACTGCTTTATACACTGAGGACACAATTTGCATGAAGATTATATTCTACAGCAAGTAGAAAAATAGTACTCAAACGAAGTAAAATGTATGTTAGAAGGTAATTAGCATTAAAAAGATAAAGCAGAGAAGGGGAATAGGAAGGATTGGAAAGTGATTTTGTCATTGTAGTGCATTAATGAAATGAGGAAATAAGAACCTGAAGTGAACCTCAGGACATGATGACCCTTGAACAGAGACCCATAGGAAGTAGAGGACAGATTCATTCAGCTATCTAGGGGGCAAGCTTCCTAGGCTGAGGAAATGTTAAGTAGAAATTTACTGAGGCAGAAACTTGCCTATCATGTTCAGGGGACAACAAGGGGGTTAAATTGCCTAGAGTGAGTTAAGGAAAAGACTAAATAGAAGATGACAGGCTCAAAGAGGTAATGGAGAAGAAAAGCTGTGTAGATTTATAGGAGAGTCTTAGAGTCCACTGTAAGGGTTTAGACTTTATTCTAAGATAGAAGTAGGGTTGTGAGCAGGGGTGTGACATGATTTGTCTTATTTTTTATACGACTACTCTGGATGTCATGTGAAAAGATAGCTGTAGGGGACAAGGTAGAAACAGGGAGAGTAATTAGGAGAGAAATAGTGGATCTTAGATGACGGTGTTAACAGTGAAGATGGTGAGAAGTAGTCAGATTCTACATATACTTTGAAGGCAAAGCCAATAGGATTTGCTGATAAATCATATGTAAAGTGTGGAAGAAAAAGAGAAGTCGGGAATAACTCTGAAGGTTTTTTTTAAAATCTGAGCAATTGCAAGAATTAAATTGCCATTTACTGAGGTAGATTGGGCTGGAGGAGGA